CCCCATTGCTTGCTGCTCAAAGAACCCCTAGCAATCTCAGGAGGAACCCTGGATGAGAAAGGCAGGTCTACATTCTCTATGTCGCACAGTACAGACCTCCTAAAGACATTAGTACTTGATGTACCCCCTAGGCCAGGGGTGTCAAACTGGTGGCCCTCCAGCTGTTGGGAAACTACAAGTCCCATCATGCCTCTGCCTTTGGGAGTCATGCTTGTAACTGTCAATCTTGCAATACCTCATGGGACTTGTAGTTTGGCAACAGCAGAAGGGCCACCAGTTTGACACCCGTGCCCTAGGCAATGTAGATGTAGAACTATGAATGCCCAACAAGAGATGCAAAATTTTACAGGATAGTACTATATGAATAGCTGCATTACTGCTAGTACTGACAATCCAGAAAATAAAAAGAAAACAGTGTTATCTTATAATAATTCTGCAGAATGAGTCCATTATATATATTCAATAAGGTAAAGAGAATTCCATAACCTCAACAGCATGGTGTGCACTATGTCACTAACTTCAGATCTTAAAGTGGACGAAAAACTGAAAATAAGTTTACATTATACCCTGGTTTCCACCCATAGTACTTAGGTGAGAATAATCTCAAAGCCTTCTGGCTTTATCCCGAGAAAGCTAAGGATCCCAAATCGTATTGCTGATGATGCTCTTGCATAGTGCTGGAGTGTCTTCTTGCTGGTGGTCTAAAAGATAAGTGGACCTTGCATTTTCATGCAAGGTCTGCTTTAACTAGTCTGTTTTTTTTAGGTTAGAAAGATTTACCCTACAGGATTATTAAAGAGGAACTTTACTCTCTGACCAACATTGACCATTTTAATTCTTATGCTGCTAGCATTAGTAAATAGATAGGATAGTATATCATATTAACTTGTTTTAAACTTTTTTTTTTTACATTTCGGTTACTTCCTGGGGGCTTTCTCAGCTAAGCACACCCTTCTGCCTGCATGTATGAGTTAAGGGCAGATTGATTCCAGGAAGTAAATGCTACATGAGTCATTTGCCTTTACTCAAGATGGCCACTGCCAGAAATTCTAGGGGGTGTTTTTCAAAGTGATTTCTCAGCAAAATAAAGCATGGAGACATGGATAGATGTAGGAGTTTGCTTTGAATATTGAAAATAAATGAAATAGTGTTTTTGGTTTGTAGTGTTTGTAGTGTTCAGATGCAGTGTAGTTTGTTTGTTCGTTTTAAGTAGAGTGTAGAAGAAATAGAACCCCTGATAAAAATCCAGGTTTTTTTATTGCTCTGTGCTATGTACTGTAGAGTCACCCTGTTTGTCCTGGTCATTTTCACTGGGAAAAAAATCATAAAACACGATGGGAAATCTAAGCTTTTACAGTTTTCACCACAACAGGAATAGAGGGAGAATTATTCTGGTGACAACTGTAAAGGGGAACTCACTTTGTAGGGACTTCCTTTCACTTCTTGGTTTGATCTAGAGCAGGAAATTAAGTCAAACTCCCCCAGAAGGACACAGCACAAAATAAGTGGTTTTACTCCTTCCCCACTGTATCCAAAACGAAAAAAGCACATTTTGGCTATACTATTGTAGAGATGTGCTACACTATGCAAACACTTTAAATGTTTATATACTATAGGTTTCTATTTATTACAGTTTTCCAGATGGTAGCATGATTTTTTAATTCCATGTGTCTATATTGTATTAACCTTTTAGCATTCAGGCTATAGAGTTTATAGGTAACACGAGAGTGAAATATGAAGTATTATATATAATAAGTATTATATATTATAAATAACCCTAGAAGTTTAGGCTACAAGCTATTTGCAGAAACGAAAGGTAATGGAATACAAAATCTGAATCCCAAAGAGTACAGATCTACAGTGAATTCTAAGACTTCCTCATATGCATTTAGTCAATAAAAAAGATTTCAATCAGCTTATCATATCACCAGGTCTAGCACCACCAGGTCATTTTTTTTTAACTTTCAAAATCTGATATGAAGTATTATATATAATAAGTATTATATATTATAAATAACCCTAGAAGTATAGGCCTCAAGCTATATGCAGAAACTAAAGGTAATGGAATACAAAATCTAAATCCCGAAGAGTACAAATCTACAGTGAAGTCTAAGACTTCCTCATATGGCCTCACACTGTCAGATATCTGCTAATATCCCAATCACATCCAAGCATTTAGTCAGTAAAAAAGATTTCAATCAACTTATCATGCCGCCAAGTCTAGCATCACCAGGTCATTTTTTTCAACTTTCAAAATCTATTATGAGGCTTATTCAGTTTTACCATAGACTCTTAAGAGCGACTCTACAACACGTATGTATTATTGTCCACAAATCATAAAAATATTCAAACTATGGCACACACAACACAATCCAAACTTCAAACAAACATTTTTGTCCTTTGCAAAATAAAGGAAGACAGTACAATTACGTTCCATACAAAAGAGTTAGAAGGGCCGGCTCCTAAGAGCTAAAAATCTAAAGGGAGAGGAAAGTGATACTAAAGGTAATAACTGTGGGGGATAGGTAGATGGAGAAAGTACTATTCTAGTTGTTAGGAAGAGGTGGGATAGGCTTCTTAAAGAGATGTATTTTCAAGGATATATACAAAGGCTTGTGTTAATCATAACATATAGACATATTCTAGGATTCAAGAGGAAAAAAAAAAATCCTAAAAGACTTCCAGCATCATTTGTGGTCCACATACCATTTCTGTCCAATTCATTTTACCAGTTACAGAAAGTTTAACTATATACATAGTCCCCTTGCACAAAAGCCAACTATTGTCGCTTACAGAACAATACCCATTCCGACACCATTCCAATCCAAAATTTTGTATAAAGCGATGCGTACATACATCCTCACCTTACATCCCCAGGTAGCAGTTCGGAAGGTTTGTGTACAGTTCCAGCTGTGACTGCAAATAGTACTTGGGTAGGACGATGAATGTGCTGTTCACAGATATGCTGGGACACAAGAGTGGATTTACAAAGCAATGTAGGAGAGAGGTGTTTGGCCTCCCCACATTTCCTCTGTAGGAAGTAGCTGTTCTTCCTGTTTCCCGGAGATGATTCCACACACCATTGTTGTATGTGGCTGGGTGTGGCTATACAGAAGGCTCACGGTGTACTTTATTTGTGTTGTATGTAGAACACAACATTCTGCATCCACATTGCAGTGCATACTGCCAATCAATAACAAAACTAAAAGCAGTAATCATAGTAATATAAGTGTAATATAATTGTATCCAGGTTATTATATTATGAATTTTAAATTATATTTTTATTTATTTTCAAATGCAAAAAAATAAATAACAAAGGAAAATAATGAATCCAATGGTTCTTTAAAACAGTGGCCAGGGGCGGACTGACAATTCATGGGGCCTCCGGGCAATAGGGGATCATGGGGTCCCTGTGTCCTTGCCCAAACTCAAAAAAGCTTATGAAAAAGGTACCAGGAGCATCTCATGGGGCCCCCTACTGACCCCGGGCCCTCGGACAGTGCCCGAGTTTCCAAATGGTCAGTCCGCCCCTGACAGTGGCTAACCGAGTCAACATTACAGATTTGTGCATCTAATATTTGTATGTATTTGTTGTAAAATGAATTAATTCATAAACAATAATAAATACATAAAAATAAATTCATAAACACATTCATAAACAAATTCCTAAACATAAATTCATAAATAAATTCATAAACAATAATAAATAGTAATATGCATGTAACCTGGGCTTCAGCTTTACAAAGCTAAGTATCTGTTCCAGGGCTGCTGATAGAAATCGCGGGGGCCCGTGCAGCCTGACAGGGCCCCCCTCCTTCCCCCCACAGAAAATATAAAAGTGATATTTTTGCTAAAAATACACTAAATCATTATTAGCTGACACAAACACTACATAACTCAAATTTCTGCTAAATATAAAACTGCATTGAGGTCAGGGACAGACTGACAACTCATGGGGCCACAGGGCAATAGGGGATCATGGGGCCCCTGTGTCCTTGCGCAAACTCAAAAAAGCCTATGAAAAAGGTACCAGGGGCATCTCATGGGGCCCCCTACTGACCCCGGGCCCTCGGGCAGTGCCCGAGTTTCCAAATGGTCAGTCCGCCCCTGATTGAGGTAATAATGTTCTTTGTGAAAATGAGGTCTTGGGGCTAATTCACATGGGCCATGTGGCCTGCACAATGTGAATTAAAAGATTGTTCATGTGGATGGTGCCACTTGGAGCTGTGTGCAGACAGCCTATGTTACACACTATTGGGACACAGTGGCTGTATGAACACATCTGCAGGTCCTAAATTTAAAGGTGTGTGTGTGGTGCAGGTGTACGGCCCCAAACATGAACAGTTAGAATTTGGGGTAACTCACCCACACCTGCACACCTGTCAGATTAAAATCTGCAGCTGTGTTCATTACAGCTGCTGTGTCCCCATAGAGTAACATGTGGCTTCAACCACATGAACAAATCACATTCACATAGCCAGTGTACCCGCGTGAATGAGCCCTTATTTTTTTTAATTTTTAAAATGTTATTTATTTATTTTTTTGTAACTACTACTTTAAAACATTTTTTTAATAACCCTGTTGGGCAGATGAACGAACTGGAATGAACTGGAACTGATCTGTACAGAGGCTATCTGTTCATTCACAAACTGAAGAATAGTAAACACAGCTTACTATGTTTCAGTTATGAATGGTTGGTACCGATCACTCACTATGTTCATTGAGGAAAGAGGAAAGGAAGGGGTTGTTAACCGCTTCCCGTCCACCCTATAGCAGTAATACTGCTGCAGGGTGGCACAGATGCACAAAATTACGTGCATATATGTGATTTCGTATTTACAGGAAGGGGGTGTGTGCAATTTGCGGCCTCGGCTGTCAATCACCGGGTCCCGGCCGGTGATTACTCATTGACACCCGGTGATCGAGTATTACCGACGGAGGGAGAGAACTGCAAGTAAACAATACAGTTCTCTGCCCTGCCAGCTCCTGCCTACTGCTATGCATGGCTTTGCATAGCACAGCCATGCAAAGCAGTGTACTTACAGTGAAGCACACACACACACACACACAAAGCACACAGTAAAACAGCACAGTTAACCCTTTGATCGCCCCACGTGTTAACCCCTTCCTGCCTAGTGCCATTAGTACAGTGTCAGTGCTTTTATTAGCACTGATCACTGTATTGGTGTCACTGGGGATGTCAGTGACACCAAGTCAGTTCCCCCCAGTGGCAGAAGGCCTGCCGCCATCCCGCTATAAGCAGCTGATCGCCGCCACTACTAGTAAAAAAAATCCAGTATATATACCGCCATTTGTAAATGCTATAACTTTCACGTAAACTAATTCATTTACACGTAATGGGATTTTTTTTTTTAGCAAAGACATGTAGCAGAATACATTTTGCCCAAAATTTATACGAAATTAGATTTTTAAATTTTTTTTACTGGATATGTTTAATAGCAAAAAGTCAAAATTATAGTTTTTTTCTCAAATTTGTTGGTCTTTCTTTTAAAAGCACAAAAAATAGAAACTGCAGAGGCAATCAAATACCACCTAAAGAAAGCTTTATTTGTGGGGAAAAAAAGGATGTAAATTTAATTTGGGTGCAGGGTTGCATGACTGGGCAATTGTCAGTTAAAGTAATGCAGCGCCATAACGCAAAAAATGGCCTGGTTAGGAGGGGGGGGGGGGAATCCTCAGGAGGGCAAGTCGTTAAAGATGACATATTTACCACCCCACAATCCCCATCCTGACAGCCAGTGGGAGGGAGAGGAGAAGAAGCCGCTGCTGTGGAGGGGGGGGGGGGGAGAGTTGGATCCTCTACAGGGAGAATGATCAGAACTGATCCACCTGCAGCAGCTGAAAGTTGGCAGAAGAAAAAGGAGAAGACAGCTGTGCTGCAGGGGAAGCCATTGGATGAATGGTTTCAGGGACCCCCCCCCCCATTAATGATTAATAAATATCCATAGAAAAAAAAAAGAAAAATTATGAAAAAAACCCTAAAAAATATAAATATAGTTAAATGATTAAAGGTTATTATAAGTAAGGGAACAGGACTGAGTTGGAATTGTGAATGCAAATGGATTAGAGCTTAGACTTAATTAAGAATCCTATAATGATGCTAGATCTAAGGTATAGGTAATAGAAAATGGAACACATTAACCAGATAAGTTAGTAAAGGGTTAAATAGTAGTTGAGCAGTGATACAATGATTTGCAGAAGGGAACTGAGTCTGTAACGGATAATATAACAGTGTAAAGAGGGAGAAGAAGCAAAGTTGCACTAGATAGGGGGATGAGAGATTTGTAGCAGTGAGCAGAGGGGGAACCAGACTCGGAGTGGGAAGCCCAGCTACATAAACACTGTGCCTTGCTAGATAAGATAAAATACATTTATGACTGTGACTGCAGGGAGAGCAGAAAAGAATATACAGGCTGGGCAGTTGGAGGCAGGGCTGCTGATAGAAACCACAGGGCCCCATACAGCCAACCTCACAGGGCCCCCCCCCCAAAAAAAACACAGTCTACTAAACTTCATTTATGAACACAGTGAGTGATCGGTACCTATCACTCATTATGGTCATTCAGGAAAGGAAGTGGCTGGTAAATGTGACATACTGTATTTACTGGACCTTTCCCCCACTGTCTATCCTGAATGATCCTATTGTGTGTTTGCAGCTGCCGGAGGGAAGGAGAGGAAGGAAGCTGGCAGCACTGTGGGGGCACACAGGAGAGATTGAGCAGCAGGTGCACAGGGAGGATGATAGGAGCCGTGGGGGGGCAATTACTGGAACCCATCCCCTGTATAGCTCTCCCTGCAGCAGCCATTAGGAGGGAGAGGAGAAGAAGCCAGCTTTCAGCTGCTGCAGAGAGAGCCATACAGGGGATTGGTTTCATTGATTTCCACCCTGCCATGGCAATCGTCTTTCTGCTCACATTCAATTCACCCATCTGCCTGGGCCCCCCTGCCTCCCCTTATCCATGGCCCTGGTTGGAGGAACGGTAAGACAGGATGGATCAGATGGGAGCAGGAGTACAGGAGATACACCAATGAAGGACTGAGAGTGCAGAGAGACTAACCTGGGCACAATGGATGGGACTGAGAAGAAAGAAAGACTGGAGTGTGATTTCAGGGATGAGGGGCAGTATATGACAGGAAGAGTGAGAAGGGCAAGAATCTGGAAGAGAGGATGAGATACAAACTTACCGAGATAAATAGAAAGGTATAGGGGAAGAAAAGCTAACATCAGAGCACTGAGCCGAACTGTGAGAGAATGACAGGAGGCTGTGGATTGGCTGCAAATGTAGCAGAAAGGCAGAGTAAGAGAACTGCTTGTCCTCTGCCTGGGCCCCCTGCTGAACTGATAGGACCCGGGCCCGGTACTGGAGGACCAGTGGTATCCCCTTATCAGTGGCCCTGCTCGGTTCACACTACTGCTACCTGAAAGTCGCGCGACTTGCAGTACGACTTTGCCAGGCAGTTTGAGTACTACTTTGAAGCAACTCTGAAGCAACTTTCAGGGAATGCCTGGGTAATCTTCCTGTAATGTCGGATCCAAATCACATCAATACAGATGAGGATCCGACTTGGAGGCGACTTCTATTAAAGTATATGGGCATAAGTCGGATAGAAGTAGCCTTGAAGTTGTACAGGAATCTTTTCTAAAGTCGGAGCGACTTCAGTGGTGCTAATTAAGACAGTTCTCATTGACCAACATGGGATTTTACATGTCATGCGACTTGGGGTCTCACAAGTCAGATCCCAAGTCGCGGTATGGTGAACTGAGCCTTAGAAGGCACAAGACATTGTTACAGTGCATCTAAACGAAGAACAACACATTTATATATTGTAGATAAACAGCCCTTAGATGTGGATGTCATATTATTTTTTTTTTCCCACTTAGTGATCCTGCCAGAATAGTTGCTAACAGATCAAATGTTACAGAACTGTACACCTAATATTTTTATTTTTTGTAGTGAAATGAAATAATCCCAAAATAATAATGCTTATTCTGGATCTGTGATTTGAAGTATTAAACACAGGCGCAGACTGGCAGCTAGCATTTTTAGCAATGACAGCCTACATATTTATTTCATGACAGGTGTATTTTAAGACAGAGGCTGAATAATTGATCTGGGCCAGCGAGAGTCCCCTCTTATGGATAATCTAGAAATTGCTATTTTTAATACAGTAACAAAATATTAGCACAAGCCTGTTATCAAACAGCAATCAAAAATGAGTCCAAATAAATGTTCACACTGAAAATGCTTTGCCATTAAAGGCTGATCTCCAGGCAAGCAGCTGAATACATAAACAACATATAAAATACAAATATATGTAGCCTTCTTTTGGGGGGTATGAGAAATGGCTGTCTCCAAACAGAATAATGCACTAAACCTGTAGGTAAATAAGACAATCAGAACCTTCATTAAGTGGAAGAGTGGGTTCCACCCAGAACAGGGCCTCTATAAAAAGAGGGGATTCTCTTTCTGGGAGATTAATCCATAATCTAATCAAAGTAATTGGGAGCAGAGGAACTACTGCAACCAGGATATAACATTAATCATAAGTATATACCTGCAAACCAGTATAGAAATAATAAAACCTTTATATAGAAAAAGATTAGTGTAGACGTCTTCAGTACTAAATTTTTCTGAAGTCCATTCATGACTTAACAGGATCATGATCAATGAAAAACTATCAGCCATCTCCTCAGAAAAAAATTAGAAGTTTTGGGAAATATGGATGCCTTGGATCTCACTTGAATCTGGATGCTTTAAGTTCTTAACTATTTACTGTCCCCCAGAGACTCTTCTCCCACTTTCCCCTACTACCCCATCCTTTCCTCCCTCACTGCCAGGGCCATCGCTCCTGCTTGGCAAATTAGGCAGCTGCCTAGGGCACACTTCTGCCTAGGGCGCAGCTACGGCCACTGGTTTCCTCTCTGCTGGCTGCCTAACACTCTGCTGGCTTCTCCCTGCTGCCAATGCACTGCTGCATTCCTGGTAGAACGGAGAGCGGGCTGCAGTCCTGGTAGAGCGCAGAGAGGGCTGTCTCCAAGTCCCCGGTTTGTCTCCCAGTCCCCGGGTGTGCCTGGTGCCATCCCTTCCTCCTGTCTGTGCACCTCCCCCTCTGTGTGATTGGAGCTCCCTCCCAGCCATTTTGCTCCTGACCCACCCCCATCCAGGAAGTAGACAGGCTCAGAGAAGTGGGGAGTTGAAGGGACTATGGTCCTGATCCTGTACTCTACACCGAGCCTTGGGGCACACACAGCCCCCTGAAGCCCGCTAGCCCCCAGTTCCAAAACACTCATTAAGAGCATCGCCAGTCCGCCCAACCCCTCTAATGGAGGGGGAGAGAAGAGAAGATGAGGACAGGGGGCGCTGACAGTGCAGGTGTCAGGGAATGGGAAGATCGCTGCGGTGATCGAATACGCATATGCTTAGAATCCTGACAAAACGTACAGGTAGGCGGGCACTAGGACCCAGGCGCGCCTGTCACCAATGACGGCGCTGGCCAAGCACTAGGACCCAGGAGCGCCTGTCAGGAGTCGGGCGGGCTATTTAAACCCAGCTCTTGCAATGCTCAAGTGCCGTATGGTCTTTCCTGTGTTCCTGTGAGTTTACATTGCTGCTGACCCTACCTGATCCTGATCTGCTGACTTCTCCTGCTCTGACCCCTGGCTTGCCTGACCATTCTTCTGCCTGCTCCTGCACTTTTGATCTCCTGTTGCCAAACCTGGACCGTGACCCATTTATTCTTCTGCCTGCCGTTTTGTACCGACCTGCTCCGCTGTTACCGACCTGGCCTGTCTGACCACGCTTACTCTACCTCCTCACAACAGACTCTCACCTGCTGCGTACCATTGACAGGTGCCTCTACCACAGCTGGTTGCACCCAGGGGTCGCGACCTGGTCTCGACTTGCTCCAAGTCCATCCCCACCATCAGGGGCTCTGGTGAACAAGCAGGTCAGAACTTAGATTCCGCGCCCTGGGGAATTCTGGTCTATGGAACGCTAGAGGCTACCACCGGCTGGTCCCTAACAGCAGGTACCCATCTGGTGGTATCCATCCTTCATCCCCAGAGAAGTCGGGCTGCATCCTCCCCTGTATCACCTGTGCGCCTGTGCTGAGTCTGCATCCAGGAGACTGGGAGGGAGAAGAAGGAGGAGGAGGAAAGAGAGGAGAGAGGGATACACATAATATACCTAATATACCTTAAACTCCACTCCTAGTGTAATTCCTCTCCCCAAATCTCCCCTCCTAT